TATACTATTTACTGACTAAGTTAATCTATTTTTAGTACTTATTTTATTTTTGTAATTATTGTATTTTTTCATTATCAATATATTTTCAATAATTGTGTATTTACGCTATAAATTTTAATAATTATTGGAGATTAAACTATTGTTATTTATCAGAGATGAGACTATTGTTATTTATCAAAAGAAAATAGTTGCTTGAGCTTGGAAATTTATAGATTTGATTGGGATAGGTTAAGTTATAAATGATTTTTTATTATTAACTTTAATTATCTTATCAATACTAATTTTTAATAGTTGCTAGATAAAACCTAGGGGTGAGCATTTGGTTTATTAGGTAAAAAATCGAATCAAATAAACCGAAATTTTAAAAACTGAACAACAAAAATAAAAATCAAAACCAAAATTTTTGGTTATTTCAGTTAAAACTGATTAATAATATATACTTTATTATATATATTATAACATATAATATATAAAATATATATTATGAAATCAAATTTCATTATATTATATATTAATATGTATAATATATTATATATCATATGTTACATACTATATGTTATATTTTACATATTATATATTAACTGTTAATTATTAGTGAAATTAATAAAAATGTTAGCTTTTGTAATTATTTTTATTTATTTAAAGTTAGTCAAAATTTCATTTAAAAGTAATAACAATTATTAAAATTTATATAAATTATTAATAAATCTAAATTTATTAAAAAATATTTGTTCATATTAAATTAGCAATAATTATTTTCTGTAAATAATCATTAAATGAAAATACAATTATTAAAATTTTAGATATTAACAATAACTTTAATATTGTTAGTTAATTAACAAAAAATATTGATTATTAATTTAATATTAATTAATAGTAAATAAAATTATTAAATCTTTCATATTTTCCTGTGCATCGCATAGGTCCCTACTAGTTATTTTTATTATTTCTAAATGAAATTTTGACTATCTTTAAATAATTAAAAAGGTTAATATTTTTATTAATTTCACTAATAATTAACAATTATATAGGAATGGCAATGGGTGGGTTTAGGGCGGGGCACCCCCTCCCTGTCCTTACCTCATAGTTAAGACACTTTACCCCATTCCCGCCCCATCTCCAGTGTCAGGCGAGTGCAAGGCAAGGCAACCACTCCTAAATGTCGAGCGAGTTCAGCAGCAAGGCACCCCACTCCTCATCAAGGATGGGGAATCCTCGAATTTTCCCGCCCCATCCCCAATATTGGGCGGGTTCAAGTAGAGGTGTAAATCAGGTCATACTAGGCTGAGCCTTGGGCCATGGCAAGCCACAGACCGAGCCAAGCTATGAGAGGTCCGTTTAAAAAAAAAAATTGAAAAAGATGTTTAAAATTTTATTTCATATGATTTTTGATGTATACAATTGTTTATATATACAATTGGACCTATTCATGGGCCAGGTAGCCCAACGGCCCGGCCTGGCCTGACCCGTTATTTATCAGGCTTGGACAAAATTTTAGGTTCGTGGGCTCAAACTCAGGCTTTCTCAAAATAAGCACAACATGATACTATTAAATATATAAAAAAGTACTTATATTATATATATATATATGCTTCTTAAATTATTAAAAATATTAGTTTACTATTAGGAAATATAAATTAGTTTATTAATTTATTAAATTATTACTAAATTAATATAATATTAGTTTATAAAAGTATACTAAAAATAAGACATTTTGTGTATAGAACGGGCTTCGGGCTAGGGCTCGGTCTTGTACATTTTCTGTTGATAAAGATGCTCGTGTTAATTATAAAACTATGATTTTTTTACAAATTAAAATTTTTATTTAATTCTAGTCTAGTATAAAAAATGTATAACATTTCTATATATATATATATATATTAATATAAAAATTGTTATTTAAATATTATATAATAATATTTACCATATATGCATATAACTTCCAAGTTCAGCTTATTAGGAGTTGTTTAGCTTGGACACTATCCACTAAAGCCATCATTGGACTCCAAAAGTTTGATACCCAATTAGACTTTGGATATGATTATCCCTGATAATGTGTGGGCATGGTGCATATCTCAAACAGACATAACTCAAAAGAAAATAGTTTCTTGAGCCTGCAAATTTATAGATCTAATCGGGTTAGGTTAATTTATAAACAATTTGTTACTTTTTATTATTAATTATTAAAATATTGTTAGCTATTTAAATATTTCAATTATTAAATTACTGTATTTATTTAAAATATAGTAATTTCTAGAAATTATCATATTTTTAGAAATATTGCTAATTTCTTGTCTAAAACTAATTAAATGTAATTTTCTCCTATTTATATCTTTATAATTACTGTTAATTACAGTTTAAAAATAAATATTGTTAATTACATTATTTTTTCATTATTATTCAGTATTTTTTGCAATATAATACAATTAATTTAAAATATTAAATTATTTTTAGTATTTTAATTAAGCTTTAGGTTTTTCAGATTTTTTATATTTTTAATTAATTTTTGGTGTTTTTTCATTTTTATTCAATAATTTTTTCATATGAGTATTTTTCAATAATTTTCAGTATTTTCATCATTTATTTTTGCATATTAGTTACTATAAAATTAATTTGCATTTGCTTTCAGTAAAAATAAATTAAATAACTAAATAAATACCATAGTTATAAAAAAACAGCTAATTTTCAATAATTTCTTGTTTGGGTATTTTTTTAATAATTTTGTGTACAGATCGGGCTTCAGTCTCAGGCTTGAGCTTAAGGCTTTATATAAGGGCTAGGCTTGGGCTCAAGATCTAGGCTCGATGGTTGGGTTGGGCTCGGGCTCGGGCTCGGGCTTGCACATTTTATGTTGATAAAGAGGCCCGTGTTAATTATAAAACTATGATTTTTTATAAATTAAAATTTTTATTTAATTCTAATGTAGTGTAATTTACCATATATGCATATAACTTCCAAGTTGAGCTTATTAAGGGTTGTTTAGCTTGGGCCCTATCCGCTAAAGTCATCATTGGACTCCAAAAGTTTGATACCCAACTAGACTTCGGATTTGATTATCCTTGATAATGTATGGGCATTATTTGAAACCAAAATATATATACAAATATATCAGAATATATATTTTTTAGATATATTTTTTCAGATATTTTGGTTTTTATGCAAAATTGAAATATTTATATTTGACAGTTTTAAATATAAAATATATATTTAAATTAAAACCAAAATATATATTTAAATAGATTAGGTTTTTCATATAAAACTAAAGTTTTTTTGTGCAAATATATCATAAATAACCTGATTTTCTTTTCAAAGCTTAAACAAAACACAAATAAAATATATCAACTTTTAACATGCGTTAAATTTTAAAAATATTAAATAAAAAAATACTAACTTGCGAATGTGATGCTTGAGTCTTGAGAAATTGAAACTTGAGAGTTGAGATTTGAGAAGATGGGAGAGCCAAGTGAATGAGTGATGTTGAAATTTGAAAATCTTGAGAATGCTTGAGCCGTGAGGAGGCGAACCAAGAAAGAAAGAGTTAAAGAATAATGAAATTTGGAAAAAGACTAGGACTTGCAATGTTTAGAGAGTAGAGAACCTCTCTTTTAATCTTTCCAAAAATGCAAGAAGCCAATCTTTCTAAAAGTGTAAGGACTAGGGATTTTGCTTGCCTTGCAATGCTTGCCATTAATGCCAATCATAAAAATTAGAAAGAATAGATAACTAAGTTAATAAATAACTAGAAAGAAGTAACTAAAAAATTAATGCTAAAAGTTAGTAACTAGAAAGAAGTAGGATGGAGATAATCTAGTTAAATAACTCGGTTCGGTTTAGTTTACCCATCTTTCCAACCCCGAATTATCGGTTTACCCATCTTTACAACCCCGAATTATCGGCTTACCCATCTTTACAACCCTGAAACCGACCAGTGTTAAAACTGGCCAAATCAGGTTGAGTCAGGCCAAGTTGATCAGTTTGGTCAGTTTGACATTGTTGAATGGACCCCTAACCTTGCATCATTTATACCATCCCTTACAAACGTGTTTTAAATAGTATGATTGCTCGTCTAGACCATTCGTGTGAATTCCCCAACACCACGATTATGGCTTCGAGGCTGTAGTTACTGTAAATGTTTGTAGGAGAATTTTTTTTTTTTTTTCTTTTTGAGCTCTGAATCATCGCTAAGGGAGTCGGAAGAGCTTGCAGCCTAGGATGCAAGCTCTTGATAATTATGACGAGCGCACTCCGGATGGCTTTGTCAGCGACTTGATAAGATTGTTCAGACTTTCAAGTGTCGAATTGATAGGTTAAGAGCACATATTCAAAGGCTCCGTGAGAATCCTGATGCAGACTTGCCCAGCATGGACTCTTGCTCCGAATAGCTTATCTTGATTAATTAGATTTTTCATTTTTGTGTTATAGTGACTTTTTTTCTTCTTTTACTTGAAAATATTTTCTACAGTCTAGTTCTGCCAAATTGAAATTTATCATAGTTTTCTAAAATACAGAAGTGACTTTTTGCATAAATATTTTTTGGTTAACTTTCTCAACTTTTTATAAACATCCAAGGAAGAAACCGCCTCCTCCGAGCCTTGAAACAAAATAGCTCCTTGCAATGCAATCATTGTTGCCTGGGTTTGATATGGTTTTGTGACAAATTTCTTTATGGCATGTTCATTTTTTGGTAAAGAGAGCAAAAGTTAATTAATCTTTAAATAACTTTCCCAATTGAGAAAAAATTTAGAGAGAACGACTATGATAAGAAATTTTAGGCCCAAAGTATAATTGAGGTGGATGCCAACTTGAAATTGATGCCAATTCACGGGCGAGCATTGGTGTATAAAGTAGGGGTTTTTGACATTTTGAATGTTTCTAGACCTGCAGTGAAATTCAGAAATCTGCATTGAGCCTGTCCATACTTATCCGAAAAATTTCTCATGAATAAAACTAGCCAATTGTTTAATTTAATAAAATTTATGACCAAAAAGAACACAAGTATATGCACTTTTAAGTGTTTCCATCAAATTAAAATTTGAACAATCGGAATATCGGATACCACATTGCGCAGTATCTGGCAACCCAAATGTTCACTCACTTTAGGAACTCAAAAGGGAAAAAGGCAACTGTGAGTTCGTAAAAGCTAAAAAGAACTATTATATATGTACATATTCACTCGTCCTTTTCATTCACATGTGCATCTTCTTCCCCGGGTTCTGATGCGTTTTTAAGAACAAGTAGAACAAGGCAGGCTACTGGCTACTTTTGAACGACCATGTTTTCCCAACTTGAAATTGAAACGCGCACACACAAACAGAGAGAGGGGGGAGAGAGTGTGTGCCAAGGAAGAGAATGTCCGCCAGATTCATCTACCCTAGTTTGATCTATGGATATTATAAATAATTAAGCTCTTGTATATGCTCCATATTTTCATTTTCCCCGGTCAAAAAAAAAGGCTTAATCTGTTTGCCAACTATTTGATGGTTACGTACCGATTTGTCCCATGTTTGGCCCAGTGGTCCTTGAGATCAACTGGGGTAGAAAGATCATGGCCTTGTGCAGCCAGCCGGCTAAGCAATTTAGTAAATGCACTACCACTCATCTTTCTACCACCAATGCGGGCATGACGCTTGTTTGGCATCACAGGCAGTGGATACGATGACAAGGTGGTGGTGCAGCAGGCAGACTGCCATCCCCCATTCCCCCACTTATAGCACTGCTGGAGGACCCCCGTACATGAACAAACTGGGACCGGCATGGTTGATTCATCAAAGTTTACCTGGTTCAAGCCCAGGTCTTGGCCCTTCCAGTCGGGCTTTGACACTGCCAGCTGCTTTTTCAAGTCTTCACCACTTCCATTTGCGTCCTGTCCACTCCTCCAGTCATGTAACTTGGCCACAGTAACCAGTTTGTTCAAGTCCTCTCCCCCTTTCTTACCCTTGCTTGAGGGTTGTTGGGACCTCTTAAGTGGCACTGCCTTGCTCTCTTTCTTGGTTCGCTTAGCTCTCCGAGGCTTGTGAGCCTCAGCAGGAGCTGATGATAAAGGGTAGGCTTCAGTTATGTGCATATCCCTCGCATGGTAAGGAGCTTCTGTCAAATGGGTTAGATGGTGTACATGCTTTGTCCCACGCGGGACTCCACATCCAGGTGGGCATGTTGGTACACCACTACCACTCAAGGCATTTTCCCGGTACTCTAGGGCTGCAATGGCATTGTCCCTTTCCATTAAGGCATTGTTCCGCTCAGCAATGGCGGCATCTCGCTGTAGGAATGCCATGTCTCGTTCTGCCAATGCTGCCTTTTTCTCTGCTAGGGCCACATTCCTTTCTTGAATTGCAGCATCCCTCTCAGCCATGAGGGCCATCACCTGCTTCATCTGATGTTGGGGAATCATCCACTGTAATAATCACATAACAGGAAAGATTATCAACAGTTGCATATGGTAAGAAACTAGCAAGTAAGCCCATGGATTGCATGAGGTTCAATTGAAATTCGGTTAGGTTTGGGTTGGCAATTTTGGGTTTTGGCTCCAGTCTAGGTTTCATATTTAGGGTTAGGGTTAGTCTTGGATTGGTCGTTAACCTAATCCGATCCATCTAACTTATATGCCTCTACTTTATTAGACAAAGCCAAAAAGGGATGAGAGACTTAAAGAGGAAAGGAGGAATCTAATGGGTTAAAGGAGATGTTCCAAACACTATTTAAGAATGATCTTATCGAGGAAGCTAATGATGGGTTTTATTAGAGATAATTAAAACCTAAAAGAATTTTATTTTAACTTCTTATATTTTTAATAATTTAATTTAAAAATAAAAAACCACATGTGTGAGAAATGGAAGGATATAAGAACCATGAGAGCATTGAGGTGGACGACTCTTGACCTCCCCTTTCCTCTACAAATATAGATATAGATGGCTTAGAAACTTCCGGTGCAATGTTTTTTTTTCAAATTGGCCCCAAATTAAGAACTATAATAAGAATCCAACTTAACCATAGATTAAACGTCATCTACATAGATTTTTCATAGCTTGATACCTGACTGTGAACTGTCTTGTACTGATCTTTGTGTCTCCCATTTTCACGTTGGCTACCATCGTCCATGTTGCATCCACTTTCAGGAGTAATGACAGTGACTAATTTCTGGTGTCTGCCCTAGGATTAACATCGAGTATATTCAAAAAGACAGATCTCCAATCTGGAAGCCCACCATCTAAAATTAACATAGGGCAATGAAATTTCATTTTCTGAGTAAAGCTAATTTAAATCAGGAGAACTTTTTTTTTCAGGAAACAGTATAATTACAAGAACAGAACTTGAACACAATCAACACGTACTTTGCCCAGATGTAGGTTCCAAAGCTATGAAGCCGTCCTCAAACCTACAATGCAGAAATGTAGAAGAGACATAAGCAACTCTAAAACAAGAAGAATTAGATGAACAATGGGTCTCAGAGACATCACTATTCAGTTAACCGTTGTATACTTGTATCCAATAGACAGACATACTAGGCCGGAAGCTAAAAGAAATAAAAAGGGGAAAATGGCATAACACGAGCACCAAAAATTCTCATTCTGACGAACTGAGACAGTTGGCCCCTTCTTATTAAGAATTCCAAGCTGCCAAAAAGTAGAAATCCTCAAATATTTTTTTATCTATAACAAAATTTTATTAATAAAGATTAAACAGGGAAAAATATTACATAAAAAACATGGAGGGGCACCAAAACAAAAGAATGACAGTCCAACCAACGCAGCACAAAGATTACAGAATACACAATTATCTATGGTCATGCTAGCCCACTGTGCGTTTACACTGTTAACCCCTGACCTAGCCAGACCATCCACAATCTCATTGTGGTCCTTGGAATCCATCTCAGTTGCAACTTAAACCCAAATGGCCACTCTAGACCCCTTCTTGATTAATATGCAGGAATTAACCAGCGGTTATCAAACTAGTAAGAATTTGTTTGGCAGCAAAACATATTCAATTCAGAATGCAATTATTACCAGAACTATGATACCACACCAATCCATCATGTGATAAAATATGCCTTCAGGTTATCTATATCCCATTTATGCAACTGCACTGGAGATAAATAAAAGGAAAAGCAATCATCTTAATAAACAGAAAAAAAATGCATCTTTTAAATAGAGGGAGAATGATAATAAGCATTAAATTTTGTCTAAGGTTGTGAATAACCCCTTGAAAAGTAATTCATAAAAAAAAAAAACCCTTGAAAAGTAGTGATTATGGAAATTCCCTCTTGAACCCAAACTATTTAGTATTAGTTAAAAGCGATTTTTGGTCTTGAATCCAATGGATCTCTAATGAGCCTTTTAGCACCACAACTGAGGTTTATCATGGAGATGCTTTTTTACTCTGTATAGATTTAGTAGGATTATTAGTCAGCAGCTGAAGTTGTTTTGGGAGTCCAAATCCATATTGGAATGTCCTAATGGGTATATGGGTTTACCCATCTTCTACTGCATTAAAAATCATTTCTGGTTAGCTTCTTAGTCTAATTTTGAGTATGAAATGGGAGATCCAAGCTCGAGACATTGTAGGTAGAAAATTTAGAGCTAATTTGATGACCAAAAATTATGTTTCTATTAATTGTATGGGAGCTTGTGCCATCCAGTTACCTCTACCCTCTTCCCTGTGTTTTTTTCTCTTCTTCTAGTCTCACTTAAACTCTATTGCTTTTCTCTTCTTAATTGCCGCAACAATTCTATGATATAATCTCTGATTATTTTTCGATAACAGTGTAACTCATCTCATTCTTCTCTAATTGCTATTTGAATCTTCCTGCAATTATTCCTTTATCTCACAGTAGCTGTTCCCTCAAACAAACACAGACTTTAGGCTGATGAAGTATCACAAGTATGGTGAATAGATTTTAACAAGTTCATGAAGAAAAAACTGGTCAGAACTGAAATGCAAATGTAAACAATTGAGAAAAATTACGAACTCAAAACAATAAACAAGAGATGGAAAATTAGAGGAGTCAGACTGTCAGTGTCTTCCTAAGTCAAAGTCATACTTCTCTTCCTGAGCCAAATATGAAGTCACACTAAACTCAGTATGAGGTCTTGAATGGAGCAACACCAAAGAATAGAATTCTTTAGAATCACAACCAAAGGAAACTAACACAAGCTAAAGCTTTATTCAATTTTCAAAAACCAACTTGTTTCATGTGCTGACATATTTACCATTTACCCACCACTAGTAAGATACCAAGCATTCTTTGAACACCCAGAAACTCAAACCTAGAATTAAATACAACTATTCGCTTCCCAATTCCTGAACAACTCCTATTTTGACAACTGAAAAATATATTTATACGCATATATCTTTAAGAATTCAAACTCCAAGGGAAATCTAATCTAAAAGTACCTAAGTACAGTTCTCAAGTACAAAAACAAATAATTTTTAGAACTAGTTTTTTTAGTGTGAATGATCTTGAAGCCCCTACATTAATTCGCGCCAGACTTGCATCTTGACCATACTTATACAAACCACAGCCAAATTGCATGAATTTGCACTTGTTATATAAGTAAATAGTCTTCTAAAAATCACCAATATTAACATGTTTAGATACTTCTAGGCACATCAAATTTCGCCCCTCAGAAAAGTGACAATTTTGATTAACAAATGTACAGATTCCACTCTTTGTATCTTATCATAGACCATCCACTTTTTTGCTTCCATTCATGTCCTATGCTATGTGTTACCCACCATCATATTGTGGCTTAAAAAGTAAGAATGAACTAAAATCTTCAACAGTTGTGCTCTAAGCATCTATACTCTCATCAGAAACACTTGCTACTAATTACTTTAAGTTATAAATTCTGAAATCTTTTTAATACTTTATCATGTAAATCAATATTATCATTACCACTAATATATAAAATTCGGTGTCCTTATTGGCATAGTTTGCACTATGGAATTGTACAATATTACATTCCTAGAAAAGAATCACCAGAGAAATTGGTCTTTGTTGGACATATTGTAAGTCATTATTTAAAAGCTTCATGAAGCTCAGACTCAGAGAATGAAGAAGAACTAATGCATAAACATTTAACGCACAAATACCAAGCATGGGATGGAGAGGAAGCATTATGGATAATCTCAAAAGATTGATAGGAAACAGAAGTTTATCTTTTTACAAGTCAAGAGAATAGATATCTATGAGTTCTCAACTTCCTATTGCTCCGCAGGTAATTTATCTACATCGTTGCATGTAACTGACACAAAAAACTCCAAGAAGATAAAACCACATAGAAACATTTTTGGAAGAGCTTCATTCTACATTCTGATTTATAATCCACGCAGGTAACAAACTTCACTTATTCTGTTCACTCAATTATGACATCCTTATAGCAATATCCTGATGCAAGCAGTTCCCCTCAAGTGTGTAAAGATCCAAGAAGTGTTTTCAACTTGCATGGACCTGGCCATTCAAACTATTCAAACCCATCACCCAGTCATAATGCCAGTTCGGATTAACCCTCACCAAGTCAAAGACCTAGTGACCCAGGTTATTGAACCATCAACCTAGACAACAGGCCATGGGTTAACCACTTTCAAATCAATTCAGTAATTTATTTTTATATTTAAGATTTATAAATTATAATATATTAAATTTGGATTTGTTGAATATCAATACTTAAAAAAAAACTATCCCATCTTAATTACTTCCTTTGGATGAGAGAAGGAGATGGAGGAAAGAGAGTGGGCAGCATGGGACCCAACTATCCCGACCAATGATGGAGAGAGAGAGAGGTCACAGCTGTAATGGTATTCTTGTTCTTCCTCAACCTTTCTTTCTCTGTCTAAAGATAATAAACAAATGAAACCTAACTAACATGATATTCTGATCTAAGGGCTATTGTTGTTTTTAATGGATTGATCTGTTCAGCCCAGACGCTCAAGCCAGTGACCCATCACCTGGACAGGAAACTAGGCCGACCTCCAGGTCAGTTTTTAAAACACTATGTCGAAGAGTCCCTTTGATGCTCACTGCCTATATAGCAATTAATTGTCTCCATACACAACTCAGTCCAATATGGCATTTCTGGAAGCACCACCACAATTGACCCAATGAAAAACCTTCATCCCAACCCTTTATATTGAATTGGTAATATAAAGGTCAATCTTCTGTAGGCAAGATATCCATTACTTTGTTTTCAAACACAATAAGGAAACCAATCATTATATAATCATTTGTCTCCCACATTTCAACTAGCTTTTTTATCAGTAACAAGACAAAAAGTTATAATGAAAAGAGAAGACTTCTAACCAGAAAATGGAAAGAAGTACCAACAGCGCTAGTGGCTGACCATGATCACTTTGAGTAATGAAGTACTTTTCTACTATCCATGCACCAGAATTTTCATTTTCTTTTTTCAATGAAATTCCTAAAAATCAGAAGATGGTTGCGAAATCCAGTCAAGTAACATGAAATAACAGACTTCTAAAACACTTCTAACTTTCTAACTTAGAGGATGCTATATTTTTCATCCATTGTCAATATGCTAACATGGTTAGTCTTTCTTTATTCCTTAACATTCTCTGAAATGTTATTTATCCAAAAAAAATCTCTGAAACGTTCAAGATGTCCTCCAGAAGAAATAGAAAAAAGAAGGATCAAGGATGGCACTACATAGAATAGCAAATAATTCTAATTTTCAATATCTTGTTCTGATGAAAATTGGTCTAATTTGCACCTTTAGATTTCAAGCCTTTCTCACCCAAATAACCCTTCCTGAAATCTCTAAGACAGCTTCATAATCAATTATCAATCAAAAAATATATTGTGCATGGAAAACAGGCTATTTTTTCAATAAGGACATGGAAAACAGAAATGACATAACATCCTGAAGAAGCATATGGGAAACCAGTCAAGTAGACCATATGACTTATGAAGGAAGAGGCGAAGAGCAACAAAGAATGTTCCCCAAGTTGCTACTGATGCTTTATCATCTCAGGTCTATGTATTGATACTCTTTCTTTACTTCTTTTTCATTTTGTAAGTACTGGTATTCTTGAACTTAAGTTTTCCTTAAAACAATGTATTAGTTTCAAATCAACTAAACTAAATTAAAGTTGCATAATATAATGCAGAAAATGACCTCTTGTTGCAGTAGTAAATGGCACCATCACTTCCTTTTGAAGGTTCTAAGTTCAAACCATAAACTACAGGCAGAAGTCCCCATTTTAAAATATTTAGTTGCCAACTTGCAGTCGATCCTTCAGTGATCAGTGATCCCTACTGGCACAAAATGGCAAAAGCCAGTCTAGCACTCTAGCCAGTATGTTCCATACCAGATACATTCTTATATAGTAGCCTATTGAATTGATTCCTTTTCTGGAAACAGAGGTGAAGACACAAGAAAAGAGAAATGTTTGGGGGTGCCCATCAGATAACTTTAAGAAATTCAGATATATGACATAATTGTATATTGACATCATTCACATTGAAAGGCGTAGATTAATGCCTCTCAGCAGACCTGAAATGCGGCCCTATTCTCATGCAGTTTACTTTGGTGAAAGATCAGTAGGATGAGGAGAATCAACACCGAAGAAGAACAAGAACAAGAAACTTTAACACAATAAAGGACATAATGATATAGAAGCTTTTTCTCCAGGATGCCAACGAGAAAAGTTGTTCTCAGTTGCAACAAAACAGGTCTAGACAGAGAGAATTTTCTCCCGCGGGATTGGGCATCTTTCAATGAGCTATAGGCATTTTGTCTACTATGTTGTGAAAAAACAAATTGAGAGAAGTACAGAGAAACCGGAATCACGGGGGCATCTGCTATAGCAATGACTGAACTTCGAAGGCATGCTTCCCGGATGCTTGGAATGAAAGTCTAGTGATCGCTATACCAAAACTCAAGAATTAGGGTTCACGGACATATTTAAATTCCTGGACAAAACTCATATTTCAGAAACACCAATCAGACATCAGAGCTTGTAATGTCGTATAACAATATAGATCAAATTATACGAACATGGAATGAATTGCTCCAAAAAGGAAATTTCTCGATAATGACAAAAACAAAAAAAAAAACAGAAAAAAAAAACGAAACCTACAAAAAAATCAAAAATTCAAGGGAGGAGATATGGAAGTGAAAAAGATCGAGCTCAAGGCAAACGAACTCTACTCAATCAAATATTAAAAGCAATCCGATCCAGACAACAGAGATAACAAAGAAATGGTTGACTGGAAGCCTAGAAATCAATTAGAGAAACGCCTGCCGATGCTAGGGTTTTTCAGTAAACGAAAAACAACAGAAAAAAAAAAAGACGAAGAATCCGCTTTAAGGAACATTAACAGGGAAGATATGCAGAGAAACAGAAACTTACTGCAGACGATGGAAGGCGATGAAGAAAATTGCAAAGATTTTTCAATCGAATCCTCGCTAGTCCAATAAACAGTTCAAGAGGGGAAGCTATTTATATGTGTCTCTTTCTATTATTCTACTGTATTGTCGTCTTTTACTCCTGCTAATGTTTCCCTCGTTTTCTTCTAATAAAGTAGCCTTAACGTCACGAGCCCCATGGGCGTTTAAAATTTTGGGAGCTTAGGGCCTAGATTCTGTATTCCTCCAACTACCACATTAAAATGTAGCGAAATGCCGATCTACCGTACACTTTTCATCTATGGTATCCCTCCGTGGTGTCTGCTCCGAGAAGATTCGACTGTCTTGGATGGTTGGATTTTCGTCGGGGAACCACTAGAGAGCGTCTGGTTTGATGAAGAGTGTCGTGAAATGCAATGATCAATTTACGGGTGCGTGAAGATTGCAATGATCAAAAGAGGCCTGATATGATGACGATGATGACTCACACATTGACTTTGATAGAAAAAAGACGACCAGCTTCGAACAGTGCCACGTCACCAGAAAGCGCATGCCAGTTCGGATTCAGTGCGTTTGGACTCGAAGGGATTTTCTCTACGAGTCCACTAAAATTTTGACACGTCTTTCGGTGCTAAATTGGTCATCACCGGCGACCGGTTGAAGTTTTGCTGCGGGTTATGATTGATAAAAATATTTTTAAATAAAAATTGATAAATATAAAATTTTTGCAAAAAAATTTAACTAAATATTGATAGAAAGTTCGAAACCCTCATGTTCTCGTACTCGAACCCTTCTCCCCCAACCATTAACGGGAAGACAAAACCTTCCTTACGGTTGTGGCTTTGGATTTGTAAGACAAATCCTTACATTCTCAATCCAAACGCAACTCAAGCCTTGCTCCTCCAACTATTAATGGGAAGACAAACCCGGTTTTGGCTCTGGATTTGCAAGACACGAGACATCTTCTTCTTCCTCCATACTAAGCTTCTAAAAGTAAAAACAATAACTCCAATTTTCTAAAGATATCTTTTCAAGAAAATATATTCAAGCAGTCACGCACAGGGTTTTAGGCTCTAAAAAATTTCTATTTTCAAAGGATTCTTGGGTTTCATATTTTAATGAGGAAAAGTGGTATTAAGGATTTTCGGACAAAAATCAATGAGTTCATTAACTTGATCAGTGTTGACAATTTGCCAAAATGAGTTAGAGTTAGGATCTTCAGTCTTACAAATGATTCTTGGACACAAATCAGCAGGTTCATTAGCTTTTTTGTTCTCAGTTTCTGCCTTCTATATTTTGGGGTTTCATTCACCTTTGAATACTTTGATGTTTGAAACTTTTCGTTAATACCATTGTTATCGTCGCTAAAATCTACAGTTGTTGTTTTGTTGCAGTTTGAACGCCATTGATAAGGCTTGTTGTCGTTATTGGTTGGGGGGAGAAGGTTTGAGTCACAGGGTTTCGCAGAGACTGCTCTGCAAGTCATTTTAGCAAGTTGCAGAATGTAGATTTTTTTTTATATCTTTTATCAATTTTTATTTAAGCTCCAATCGGTTGTAAGTGATGGCCAGTTAAGCATGAAGTGATGTGTCAAAATTTTAGTGGACTCGAAGAGAAAATCCCTTTGAGTCCAAGCGCACTGAATCCTAACTGCCTGCTTGTCCACTTAGATTTTGTTCATGATGTATAGAGTACGTGCCAAGCCTGAAGCCACATTTACAACGGTTCGTTTCACTATTTGCTACTAATAATAATATTATATAATATGTAATATATATTATATTTTTTGTTATATATATATACGTTGTCTGTGAGAAATTTTTCTTCATATTAATTATTTAAATTTTAGATATATCATAGTTAAGATAGAAATTGAAAATTAACAAAAGTAACAATATGATTAAAAATAAACTTAAATGCTTGTAACAAATAACAATTGTTGTTATTATTATTATTATTATTATTATTTTTTTATTATTTTTTTATTATTATTAAATTTTGTATTTCATTTTTATCATAAATAAAAATAAATTTCATTTTAACAATTATTTTATTTAATATGATGAATATATAACATTAGAAATGTTTTCAACAAAATTTTGTACATTTTCATTTTTGGTGTTCTATCGTTTTTTAAATATTTATTGTTCAATTATGACATCATGGGTTTCCTTGAAAAGTTGGATCATTGACCCACCATCTAGATAAGAAAATAGCATTACTTTTGGATTAGTTTTAAATTAGGGAAAAATATAGTGGGAGCCAGTTGTACATTTAAAATTAGAAATTGCCCTTTAATGTTGGGTGATTGGAAAAAAAGGGGTTTTAGTTTTTTTCTCTCTCTCTCTCTCTCAATCTCCCCTCACACTCTCTCACTCTCACAATCATCTTTATTTTCTCAACGACTGTGATATTTGAAAATAAATAAAAATAGTTTTTGGTTTTCACTCTTGATTTGGTTATAGACCAAAGCTAAAAGAGTGGGAGAGACAGAGGGAGCAAGAGATCAAGAGATGACTATGAGAGTGAGAGAGAAGGGAGGGAGATCAAGAGACTGATGAAGTGGGAGAGAAACTAAAAACCTATTTTCGATATAGGATTTTTGCTGTGTCCAGCATGGATTAAGAGTCCCATGTTGTCAGCAACCATATAAGCTTCAATGACATGGCAGGGGTTTTTTATAATTTGAAATAAAGAGCTAATTGTCAAAGTTTTGTTGGTTTCTAGACCAACTTGTAACCTAATTTTAAATGTACAACTGACTTTGACTATAATTTTCCCTTTAAATTATATATTTCATTTACATTATATAAAATATTTTTTACTTATCGCACTTAATTTTTGTTTGTTTGTGGTATCATTTGACTCAATACACTAACCCACCATCTAAAAGAAAAATAGTTTGATTTTTAGGTTGACATTTAATTTTGTATTACATTTCCATTATTTGATAAAATTATTTCTTATGTATAAAACTTATTTTTCTTCAATATAATGAATGCACAATATTAGTGAGGTACCCAATATTTTATTTTTTAAGAATATATAACACTAAATATATGCCCAAAATTTCTTTATCTTTTTTTGTGATTCTTTGTATTTTCTATTATTAACTTTTTTATTTGATTATGACATCATTTCATTTCTAAGTAGATTTTAAATTTAGAATTCCATTTTTATCATTAATATAAATACTTCTTACATTTTATAGTTATTTATTTTAATTTTTTATTATTTAAATATGATATTATTTATTAATCCATTTGACCCCAAAGGGTCGAATTGCTTGCCCACCACCAGGTGAGAAGGAAATGGTTTTTGATGCAGCACAATCTGGGCACTCCTACCTGGCTGAGAGTTTGCTCCTAGCTGTGATGGACGACACCTGAGAGGAAGAGTAAGGTGAAGGGTTCCCGGGGAACACTCCGATGGCTAAGGTAGAACTCTGAGGAAACTTAAAGAAGACACAAAGAATTAAGAGTGCTGAGAGTGCTAGCTTCAATACCTTTGCTTCGTGAGGGTCGGGGTCCTTTTATACTGGAGCTCGGTCACATCAGGCGTAACCGCCACTGCCCTAGCCGTTACTGCCAGGGCAGGGGTGGTAGGTGCAGGCTGCTGCTATCAGAGACGGTAGGCAAAACGCCGCCTGGCAAGGGATCCGAGCACTGCCACGAGATCCGGCAGGTACGGATGTCAGGCAGATCTCCCTGCAGTCTGCCGAACTACTGTGCACTGAACCACCTGGGGCAGGTTTGCCTTGCACCGAGGTGCCCGCACTAGAGGCGAGCCTTAAGCAAGTATGAACAGGAGTCTCGATGGTGCTGTCTCGAGGTGTTTTTCCCCCGGGACACTTAGCCAAAAGTTGGGGTGCTTCCTTCTTAGGAAGGGAGAGCTCGGGTCCCTTTGCATGGGGGAGCTCGGGGTGCTCCACCCTCAGGTTCGAAGCGAGTTGGGCCTTGCTTCTTGACGAGCTGTCACACCCGCCGAGTCGTTTGGCCGGGCCTTGGCGAGCTCGCTGCGCCGAGTAGTGGCCAGGCTGTCACGCTGAATTGTCACTTAAGCCAAGTCATGTCCACGTGTCCATGTGCTACGAGATCGGGCCAAATCACCCTACATCAATTGCCCCCCACTCCTCGTGCTAGGGGTGTCGATCTAGCGTGGGGAGTCCGCAGTCTGCCGGGTGGATTTTGCTCGGAGTCCAAACTGTCTTGTCTGCCAGCTCATAGGTTGGATCGGTTTTCTACTCGGTTCTTCCAAGCGCAGCTCGGGTCGCGTACGGTCTACGCGCGGACGTCACGCGAGTTATAGACTCCGCGAACGTCAAAAAACACGTTAAACTGATTTTGCCTCGAAGGTCGCGCAACCGATTTTCATGAGGATAGTCAGATCATTTCAATCTCAACCGTTGATGCCCGCGTATAGTGGCTATAAATAGCGAGGGTCCTGGCCATTTTCCTTCGCCACAAATCTTTAGTTGTAGTTTTGAGCTCGTGTCTAAAGCCTTCAGCTCAGGTCAGTTCTTCCCAGTTCGGTCCATCTCTTTTCGATGAGTCACCCTAGCTCTTCTTCGATCTCGTTATGTCTTCCTTTGATAGCTAGTTAGATGAGCCCGAGGTGCCCGAGGTGGGTACCTCGGCTCAGGGTAACCCTATCGGAGTCCAGTCCCCCGAGGCGCAGGTGGCCTCGGGTAACTTGGCGTCCACCTCTCACCGAGGTCGAATGCCAGACAGGTTCGGGCCTTCCACTATGACCCTGGAGAGGCTCTATCAACTCATTCAACAGTACAACCTGCCCAAGGAGTACACCTATAGTATTCCCGCGGGTAACTTCCCATGGGAGCACGGCCCTGACGAGGTCGTAATCTTTCGGGAGCAGCTCATACCCGGGCTGCACCTTCCCTTCCATCCACTCATAGTGGAGGTCTTGAATCACTTCAATGTTACGATAGACCAGCTTCACCCGAACTCGGTTCGTAACGTGGTCGGAACCATCCCCCTCTGCTATGAGTATGTCCTCCCCCTTAACTTGAACATATTCTGTTCTATCCTCACCATCAAGAAGAGCGCTTCATGCGTTCTCCCCGAGCACAGAAGGGCTTACTACTCGTCCCCTCGCCCGGGGTTCAAGTTGATGCATAAGCTTCCTA